TTACTAACTTAATTTATTTAACCTACGTAGCTACCCTAGTAGCTTAAACCTTTAGGACTGTAATAGCTATTAGAGCTAAGTTTAACCTTAAGATATATTAATATAACGTTGTTAGAGCTTTCCTTAACGCCTTAAGGGATTAACACCCTATAGTTATCTGCAAGCTACCTAAAGGATATTAAATACCTAGGAAGTGCGTTAAGCTTAAACAAGCTCTATATAGATTAAAAGACTTACTATTATTATAGTATAATAAGCTCTTAACTACACTCTAAGAAAATAAGCTTATTACTTCTAAAGAGGAGCTATGCCTATTCTTTAATAGAGATTGCAGTATCTTGTTAATATTCTATGTAGACAATATCCTATCGCTCTATTACTAAAACTACGCAAGCTAAGCTTACAAAGTTATCTAAGCTCTAAAGCAAAGATATACTATAGAAGAGAAGGGACCTGTGAGCTAGTTTCTAGGGGTAAGAGTAATCTAGGACAGAAAGAGATAGACAATAACGCTTGTTTATAATAAATATATTAACAAGATTATAAAGAAATTTAATCTAGTAGAGATAGGAAAATTCCCTGCTATACTACTATTAAGTAAAGATATTAAAAAGAGCACTAGAGAAGCCACTAAAAAGGAGATCAAGGACTATTAGGAGCGCGTTAGATTAATCCTCTATACCTTAATTATAGTGCGCCCTAATATTGCCTATGTAGCCTCCTAGCTCTCCTAATACCTTACTAACCTATCTAAACAACACTTTAATGTGGTTAATTAAGTAATTGTCTATCTATACTAAACTTAATACTAATTAATCTAATATAGGAATAGGGATCCTAATAAGCTTATAATATGCAATAATGCGTTATTTGCTAATAATATTAATACTTAGCGATTATTATATAGATACCTAATTATGCTCTTTAGAGGACCTATTATTTAGAAGGCAGCTTAATAATTAACTATTACTACTTTAACTACTAAGGCAGAGCTCCTTGCGCTTAAGTAAGTAAGCAAAGAAGCAATGGCGTTAAAACGTTTTTTAACTAAAATACACCTTACTTTAGATACTACCTAGATAATTAATTATAATAATTAATACACTATTAGGTTAGTAGTAGGCAATAACAAAAGGATTACTACTAAGCTGCGCTATGTGGATATTTAAAACATGTAGCTTAGGCAAGAGTATATAAAGGGATCTTTCTATATTGCCTACCTACTTACTAGCGATATGCTAGCTAATAGGCTTACTAAAAACCTAAGTATATAATAATTTATAAGGTTTAGGGAGCACCTAAAGTTATATAATAGTAGAGTATATATTATATAATATTAATTAAAGTAAGGTAGTATATAAGATCTATTAATATATAATATAAGAATAACTAACTATAGCCTACCTCTCTATTATTAACTAGGTAGCTTCTCTAAGGAGCTCTATTACGCGTGTAAAGCGTGCCTTAGTAGTCTATAGGGAGCTACCTAGGTTGCCCTATCCTAGGATCTATAGGCGGAACCTTAGAGGAGCTAGAGTCCTTATCTTCTAATAAGGAGCTCTAGGCGCCCTTAGCTGCAGTATTAGCCTTGCGCGTAAGCTTAGCAGTAGTAGTAGTAGCTTTTACTAGCTCCTGCTACTTAGCCTTACTCTCCTTAAGGAGCACTAAGACCCTCTACTTCTTATCCTTAAGAAGGTCTTAGCTCTTACCTGCCTGCTTCCTTACTAGGAAGGATAGCGTAGAATATTAGGTAAGCTTAGGGCTATTAGTTTATTAGTATAAGATCTTGCTAAAGCGTTATAAAGGAAAAATTTCTTATATAGATTATATATATTAAGACATAGCTATACCTAGAGGAGCACTACTAGTACTAAGTCCCCCTACTAGAAGAGTTATAGCACTTGCTATTAGACTTATTAAAGAGCGCTAAGCGTAGACAATTTAGACAAGTTTTAGCATAATAAATGCTAGGCTCTCTATAATAGGAGGATCTTAGGGTCTCCTTAGGAGCTAGAGAGGGAGTAGGAGTAGGAGTAGGGATAGGGGGCAGGGTCTAGGGAGGAGCGGGAGCTAGAGTTAGAGCTAGAGTAGTAGGAGCTAGAGCAGGAGCGCCTTTCCTTAGCTTTATAATCTTAGCTATAGTAGTAGTAGCTATATACTTAGCTACTGCACACTCTATAATAGCCTTACGCTTAGTAGTAGCGCGCTCTTCTTTAGTAGTAGTAGCTTTAGCAACTATAGCTTTAGCTGCGTAGGAGGTAATAAGGGCAGCGTAGGTAGAGTAAGCGTAAGTAGCAGGTTTTAACTTTAACTAAGATATAGGTTAGTAGGGATATAGGTATAGTTTAGATTTTTAGGGTTATATAATCTTATAACTTAAGCTATAGTAAAGATTATAGTTAGGTAGATAGAGTTATAGAGCTCTATCTAGATAATATCTACGCGCGTAAGCGCAGGCTAAACAAGGAAGGCGCGCTAGTTAGTATCTAAAGGGTAAGCTAATTTAACCCTTTAGATATATAACGCTCTAATTAGCTACACTACCTACTAACTATAAGCATAACTACAATAATAACAAAAGATCTACCTATACCTAGGGGGTGTGTTGCAGGAGGGATATTAACTAGATTATAGAGTATCTTAATCTAATTAATCCTAATTAATACCCCTAAATAACCTACTATCTAATCAACTGCTAGCTTACTACCAAGTGCCTAATAAAAAGCAGGAGCTCTAGTAAGGAAGGTTTACTAATTATTTACCTTCTAGTAAGGGTAGCTAAAGCTCTATATATATGAGTCCAATTGTAGTAGATACAATCTAATAATCCATCTCCTAAATTATTCCTAACCTTAGTGATCCAAATTTCCACAGCTAGCAGTTAATTAGATAGTAGGTTATATAGGGGTATTAACTAGGATTAATTAGGATTAATTAGGATTAAGATGCTCTGTAATCTGGTTATTATCCCTCCTGTAACAGGTACTTCTCCTTTAATAGCAAGACTCTAGAATCTTAATTTAAAAGTAATAAATATTTTAATATTACTTATATATAGGTAGTTAAGTATAGTCTAACTCTTAGCTATCTTATTTCCTATAATATAGTAGGTGCAAAGGAGGGTAATAATTTCCTTAGCTTTTTAAAACTAAAGACTTAGGGAGTTAGATAGGTAACGTAGCTCTAAGTATTCTCTTACTAGTCCTAAGTAGTATCCCTAGACTAACGCTATCTGTGCTCTAGAAGAGGGGTAGTAATTAGTGTTAATCTCTAGCTAATCCTAAATAGACGCTTACTATTATCTAAAAGTAGGATTAGCACTACTACTAAGTATAGAGATATTTAGTATCTTTTTATAGTATCTCTTAGCTTTTATAGTATATACTATAGGGTGTAATATAGAAGCTAAAGACTAGCTAGGTTAGGTAGTACCTTATATCTCCTTATAGAGGGAGGTGTTATATAGCTAATTAGTAAGTTACTTAACTTATTCCTCTAACCTCTCCTTTTTAGATAGGGTTAATATATATTTATCTTTAAGGGAGGTGTTGCTTTAAGATTTCCTAGGAGCACAAGGTACCTTAAGAGATAGGTAGGAAGTAGGTCCCTCTAGGAGGGCGTTATTAATAGAGTCCTCCTTATCTAATTTCTTTCTATTAGTAAATAGGCTTTTAAAGGTAGCTAAACTAGATACCCTTCTTTTACCTTTATTTTATATTTTAGTAGTTAATAAGAATAATAAATCTCTTCTTTAGGTGGTTTAGTTATAAAAGGTGTTGCAGAAGGGATATTAACTAGATCACGGAGCATCTTGATCCAATTAATCCTAATTAATACCCCTGCAAGACCCACTATCTAATTAACTGCTAGCTTACTGCCAAGTGCCTAATAAAAAGCAGGAGCTCTAGTAAGGAAGGTTTACTAATTATTTACCTTCTAGTAAGGGTAGCTGAAGCTCTATATATATAAGTCCGATCGTAGTAGATACAATCTAATAATTTATCTCCTAAATTAGTCCAAAACTTAGTAATCCAGATTTCCACAAAAGGATATTAGCTTTGCCTCTAATTCCTCTAGGCTTTTAGTAGTCTCTAAGTCTCTACCTTAATATAATCTAATATGATTTTTCTAAAGGTAATCTAGTACTACCTAGTAGTCTAGAAGTCTAAGCCTATAGGCTTTAGTTATTAGAAGTTCTAATAGCTATTCTAACTATAGAGGTATAGGGTTAGACTACTACTAGAACTAAATTAGTAGCTTAAAATAATAATAATTATAATATTCTTAAATACTATTACTAGCTAGTTTAATATTCTTTTTATAATATAATAACTTAGGTAGGTAGGGTATCTAAAAGGTATCCTATATAACTTAAAGGTATATAGGAGTGCGCGTCTATATAGAAAAGGATAAGATTCCTACACCTATAGGTCTTGTATAAAAGGATAAGAAGAACATACCTATCCTAATATAGGCGAGCTACTCTCTATATACATTAATAAGTTAGGCCTTTGTTAGGGCTGATTGGCATAGAACAATAGGCGAACAATTCTGCCCCATTGTTACAGGCCTTCTTGGTATGGAACAATAGGCGCACAATTCTGCCCTATTGTTACACTTTGACAGCAAAAGTTCGCAAACCAATATCCTTAGGTTTTATCCTATCTAACTTAGGTTAAACCTTGTTTACACCTAAACCTACTATGCCACAGCATAATATAAAAGGAGCCTTATACTTATAGATAGATAGATAAGTTCTTTTCCTTTTATATAACACCTATAGGTGTAGGAATTTTATCCTTTTCTATATAGACAAGCACTCCTATATGCCTTTAAGTCGTGTTAGATACCTTTTAGATGCCCTACTTACCTGCGTCGTTACAACAACTAACCTTACTTCACTCAAGATTTGACTTGATTATTCCTAGTCGACGCGCACTGCATGTTACGTGATACTACGGTGACGCCGTTCGCTTGAAGTTGTGTGTATTTGGCGGTATTCAATCAAACCCTACAAGCTGCCGAGTTGGGGGTGGTACTTCCGGCGCTAGCGCTTCGTCACAAAGACCAGTGAGCCAGGGTGTCGGTAGGTGACCCTCCTCATTCAAGACCGCGAAACTGCGGTCAGTATCATAATCTGGTCTTTCGCCGCGAGCGATAGCATCGCAAGTGCCCTTCAAGTCGTTGAGAACTTGTTGCGCTGACGAATAGAACTGTTTCCAGCAATTTTCGGTGATTCCACAACACATATGCTGGTCAGTGGGAAATTCTTCCGCGCGGAATCGACGCTCAATTTCGTCCTCGTCCGTGTTATCCAGGTCTGGGAACACCTCGTGGCCCATCATAATGAAATAAATAGCACTTCCAAGAGCAAAGAGATCTGTTGTTATTCTTGCGTGATCTGCAGGTGTTCGGGGTAGGTATGCTTTTGTGGATTCGAGGGACAAGCCATCAAGGAGAATTGTCCCATCCGCAGAGAAGTGTTGGCCTTGGAAATCAGCAAGCTTAAGGTCGAGGTTGACGTCAAGCAGAAAATTATCGTGGCGTATATCGCAATGAAGGATTCTTTTGGAATGAGCGTAGCCTATAGCTTCGGTGGCTTGTATGCACCAGGTCAACCGTTGCTCAAGAGTCGTCTCTGGATGAGCGGTGAGGTAGTCGTGCAGATTGCCGTGCGCGGCAAATTCAAGAAGAAGGCCATCTTCCGTCAGTCCCTTCGATCGTACAATTCGAGGGTGGCTCCCGAGAACGTCGAACATTTTGGCTTCGATCTGAAGTCCCCATTTCGTCTTCTCCTGCGTCTGCGGATACTTGAGGACGGTAGTATTGTCGACTTCTCCAATCCAGCAATCGCCACCTCGAGCAATGATGCGCTTAACATTCGGAGGGAGGTACCGATGAACTACGGTATATGTGATGTGAGACATTGTGAAGTTGTGTCTTTAGTGGAAATAATGCGGGGAGTGGACGGAACTTATAGAAAGCTGCAGCATCACGTGCGACGAGGCCACCAATCACAATGGACAAGCACTGATGCACCCAGTTGCATTCCTACTCAAATTCATGTTTCGTACACCGCCATGTTTGCGGATTTCCTCTACTCTACTAGATTCATGACTAATTCCATAAGTGAGCTGAGGTAGGTGAGCGAGAGTTTGTATGCGGCTCTCTAAAGCAGCCAAGACCCTTAAGTGCACATGGTCATGTGAGGTAGAGCGCTTGCTCCCTCTAACAACTGTCAGCAAAGATGGGAGGGTTAGACATAACAGGAGCTTACTCGGCCACCTGCTCAGCACTTAGGACAGACGCCGCCCTTCTTTGTAGATTTGTCAAAGTTCACGTCCTTATATCCTCCACATTCGGTCTTGCCACATGAAGGCTGAGGATCTTACGTTGTAATCACATGTTTAGGAGTGGCAGTGCAATTGACATATGATTCCGTATATACGTAACGAGAACACATGATGGCTAGAACCGTGATGGATGAATTTGATGGTATTGAAAATAACAAATAAGTGACAAGGGCTGAGAGAAGAGAGGAAGACGGCCGGATGACGACCAGTATTCGTCTTGAGTCTCTTTATTTGTGTCAAGTCAATTCGTCTTGTATACAAACAAGGCATTACCAGTAAGCTACTGCCTGGCGCTCATGCACCTCGTGGACAGACATTGACCATCCAGACGCGGCGGGAGGGCGTTGTACTAATGTGGACCTAAAGTGTGGCAAATATTATTCGTCCAGGTCGCGATAAGCTAAATGTCTGGGTCACAAGCCTTACCGTAGCATACCTAAATTGGTTAATTCCTTAGCCTTAACATCAGTAGTTAGGTTAATATATAAGCCTACCTACTAGCTATAACTACTAAAATTTGCTCCTAGGTAGGAAATTTAGCGATTAGATAGGCAGGCAGGCAGGCAATAACTATAAAGCGAATTAGGTAGGTATTATATCTCCTTGTATTATAGAAAATTACATACAACGCCAAGATAGAGTACTTAGGTGATTACCCCTTAGCGCTTCCCTATTAGGAAGGGCGAGGACGATTAGTCTATGGTGGCGAGGACAATTAACAATATCCCCAGGATGGGAGGTTCGGAGGCCAAAGCAGGCTAGGCTAAACGTTTCACCGAGACCTACCAGTAGCGTAGCATGACGCAAACATGTCACACAGAATGCGTGCGGCCTCAAGCTTGAAATGACAGGAGATAAGGGTATGTACATTTGAAACTCATGTTGAATTGAACACATGGTCTCACCATCTAGAATGTCTTATTATCTCCCCTGCAAGACAAGATCAAGGAACGTAACCAACATCACTGGCGTTAACATGGGAAAGGATACTGTGGCTCAAGAACCAAAGGTCGAGGCTGATACCAGATGCCACCCCCACCTCCCGCTCTTGGCACCCCACGCCGCAAACAGCCAATCACGTGCAACATCGCCTCCGATGCCCGCCCGCAGCATTGGCCGCGTCGAGTCAGCCCTGGCAAAATAATCTCCAGTCTCGGGACGAGGTATATAAACACAGTTTCCTCAAACAGGAATCGAGCGATCAACAAGGGCAGTCAGTCACCACAAGGCTGGACTGTCAAAACGATTGACGACACGCAATGGCAGTCATTGACGACTACTCACGCCCGACAACACCTGACCATGGCACCACCAACGGTTACACAACTCCTCGGACGCCCAAGCCAACTGGCCTCTCCCTCACCGAATACTCTGCAAATCCCAGCCCGCCCTCGAATTCTCCACGTCCGCGCAGCAACGATGTCATCCCTCCAGCCTTCCTGCTGCCCACCGGCTACCCCGACTATCTTCGCCTGATTCTCACCTCCAGAGTCTACGAAGTGGTCAATGAGACGCCCCTGACGCATGCGACCAACCTAAGTAACCGTCTGGAATGTAATGTGCTGCTCAAGCGCGAGGACCTGCAGCCCGTCTTCAGCTTCAAGCTGCGTGGCGCATACAACAAGATGGCGCATCTCGACGCAAAGGACCGATGGCGCGGCGTTGTGGCCTGCAGTGCGGGCAACCACGCACAGGGTGTAGCCTACTCGGCTCGCAAACTCAAGATTCCAGCCACCATTGTGATGCCCTCGGGTACGCCAGACATAAAACACCGCAATGTATCGAGGTTAGGTGGTTCTGTAGTCCTGCATGGCGCCGACTTTGATTCTGCAAAGGCCGAGGCTGCGCGGTTGGAGAAGATGCATGGCCTGGTCAACATCCCTCCTTTTGACGACCCCTATGTCATTGCAGGCCAGGGCACCGTTGGCATGGAGTTACTGCGCCAGACGAACCTGCAAGACCTCAAGGCAGTCTTCTGCTGTGTCGGAGGTGGAGGCTTGATTGCAGGCACGGGAGTGTACATTAAGCGCATAGCCCCACACGTCAAGATTATCGGTGTGGAACAGTACGACGCGAACGCCATGGTCGAGTCTCTCAAGGCCGGCAAGCGCGTCTTTCTCAAGGATGTCGGGCTCTTTGCAGATGGCGCAGCAGTCAAGACAGTCGGTGAAGAAACCTTCCGCATATGTCAAGAAGTGGTTGACGAAGTCGTGCAAGTTACTACTGACGAGACGTGTGCCGCCATCAAAGACATGTTTGAGGACACACGCTCGATTGTTGAGCCTGCTGGCGCTCTCGCACTCGCCGGGCTGAAGAAATGGGTATCTCGCAACCCATCCCCTGACCGTGACCGTGGGTTGGTGGCCATTGCCAGCGGCGCAAACATGAACTTTGACCGTCTTCGCTTCGTTGCCGAACGCGCTGCCATTGGTGAGAACAAAGAAGCCATTCTGTCCGTAATCATTCCCGAGCAACCAGGCGCATTCTCCAAACTCGTTTCCGTCATCCATCCCATGGCCGTCACGGAATTCAGTTACCGTTACTCTGGCCCCAATCAAGCCACCATCCTTGTTGGCGTCGAGTTGAAGGCAGCAACGCGTTCACGCGATTTGCCTGATCTCATCGCCCGGCTTGCTGCCGAGAACATGGAAGCCCAGGATCTCTCGCAAGATGAGCTGGTCAAATCACATATTCGCTACCTCGTTGGAGGTCGCAGTTCGGCAGCCGACGAACATCTGTACATGTTCGAGTTCCCTGAGCGGGGAGGCGCGCTATTCAAGTTCTTGCACACGCTACAGCCTGGTATGAATATTAGTCTATTCCACTACAGGAATTATGGGGGTGATGTAGCCAAGATTCTGGCGGGTATTCAATGCAAGGAGCAAGAAAGCGGAGAACTAGAGGCTTTCCTGAGGGAAATTGGGTATCCTTACAAGGAGGTTACGGATAATAAGAGTTATCAAATGTTTTTGCGAAGCTAGGACGCCTGGACGGCTTGGCTGAGTTGATAACATCTTGGAGATAGGAATAATGAGCCAAAATACCCCTGATTCGATAGTCAACCGAGAGATCATGCATACCGAAGTTGACAATTGAAGTGCCGTAATGTGACAACAACCATAGAGTAGTCAAGGAGATACTCTTACAAGGCAAGTATGAAGCCAAGTGGCCGGATATACATCAGACCCCGACCACAATGCCACCAATCGCGACCCCGCATATCCACTGCCGTGCCCGCCACCTAACCCCACACGTTTCTGATCTGTTTCCGACGGTGGCGCAGTTTTCCGATCATGGCCAGTGTTGACGGTACGGAGTACATCGCCCACAAACACGTTGCCGTGGTACTCTAGAGTACAAATACGTGGCTTTGGACCAATCTTCTTTGCCATACACCTGCAATTACCCCTCCCTCCCTACCGGTACCAACCTGATCCTGGTCCCTGGTTCAATCTCTTGACGGCACGACATGGCGCCAACGTGGGACAGACTGATCCGCTTCATTGCCACAGATGGGCGCGAACTGCGAGGCCAGCCTATCCTGCCATCGCCCGATTTCGACGTAGGCAGCACGACCGAGCAAACCGGCTTAACGGCCAAAGTCATCAGCCTGAAGAATGGAGACATCTTCAGCGAGGAGACAAAAGTCACAGATGAGATTGCCACAGTGAAGAAGCTGTTGGGGCCTGTGACGGTGGATGAGGTACCGATCATCAGATGTATTGGCTTGAACTTCATCAAGCACAGTAAGTTCGGACAAGTACTTTGACAATCAGGCACCAGAAAAGAAAGAGAGAGAGAGAGAACCCATTCTACCCATTCGACTACATCTGTCAACAGACATTCGACGGCTAACACCGTCCCCAGTCCAAGAAGGCGGTCGCACCCTCCCCCCATACCCCTCCACCTTCATAAAAGCAAACACTTGCCTAAATGACCACGGCGCCCCTATAGTCATCCCCAAAATCGCTCAAGACAACCAAGCCGACTACGAAGGCGAACTCTGCTTCATCATCTCTCGCGACTGCAAAGACGTGTCCGAAGCAGACGCCTACGCTTACATCGGCGGCTACTGCTCAGGCAACGACGTTTCGTCGCGCAAACTGCAACGCGACCCTCTCCTCGCGGGAACTGTGCCACAGTGGAATTTCAGCAAGGGCTTCGATACGTTTGCGCCCCTGGGGCCGCAGCTTGTGAGTACGAGAGTGATTCCGGATCCGGCGGAATTACATCTGCAGACCAAGGTGAATGGAGACCTGAAGCAGAGTTCGGGCATTGATGACTTGTGCTTCAAGATTCCGACCTTGGTGAGTTATTGTAGTCAGGGGACGACACTAAAGAAAGGAACTGTTTTCATGACGGGTACCTGTGCCGGGGTCGGGTATGCGATGAAGGAGCCACAATTTCTGAAGCCGGGAGATGTGGTGGAAGTGAGGATTTGGCCAGAGGTCGGCACGCTGAGGAATCCAGTCGAGTATGCTTAGAAAGTTACACTGCTTGTATCACAGTTCGATGAAGCTGCTCAGTCCAATGTTCTGCTCGTGCGATCGTCACCCTGACTTGAAACTGTGATTGCGAAAATGTCATGTTCCGTACAGAGCGAGGCACGTGTTGCACTAAGCATCGAGTTCATAACGACCGTTAAATCGTAAGGGGTATCGTATTTAAACTCATATTCTACGTCTCAGACTGTTCTTTGTCGCTTCTTCGCTTTCGCCAAAGCTTGCGATATCGCAGCGACTTCTTCCTCAACCTCTGCGTCGTCCTCGCTACGGGCATCGTCTGCTATCGAGGCTTCAAGAAGCGTGCCGCCCTCCTCATCATCTTCATCGTCGACTTCATCTCCGTCAAGTTCGAGACCCTCCGAATCGTCCTCGTCATCATCACTGAAGCCCGAAAAGTCGTCGGTGTCAGCTTCTGATTGATCTGCACCCGTTACATCAGTAGCGGCTGCTACACTGCCTGTTGCTTCACTTTCGCCACCACGTTTCCTCTTTTTGCTCATCTCCCCGAGTCGTCCGTCGCGGTCTGCCTTGACAGGTTCATCTGCATTGTGACCCTCAGTGAATGGAGGCGGTGTGAACCATGGAATTTTTCCACGTATCCTAACAGAAAGATCAGTCATAGCTCGCTATATGGAATCATGTGCAGATACGTACCAGTCATTCAAAACCATCTTCGCTGCGCCGTCAATGTCGGCCTCTCCGCCCTTCAAGAGGCGACCGGCCTTTCGACAGAGTATCTCAAGGAATGTGACAGCGTCGTCATTGTAGTCTTTAATGTCGTACGTCCGTTGCAAGTGTCTTGGTTGTACTCGCTTGAGTACAGCGGGGATGTACTGAGCTGGATACTCGACGTTCTCGACGCGTACACTACCCCTCAAAAGCAGATCCTCGTCTGTATCGCTCTGATTTGGTGGGACAATACCAGGGCAGTCAATCATGTAGATGCGTTTCATCAAGGTAATGTACTGCCAGACCTTTGTCTCACCTGCGATGGGAGCCACAACGCAGACCTTTTTCTTTCGCAGGGTGTTGATGATGGAGGACTTGCCAGTGTTGGGATAGCCAACCATGCCAACTGAGATTTGCTTGCGGTCGCTATGGAGAGAAGAGAATTGGCGCAGAAGAGCGATGAGAGATCCCTTGCCAAAACTGTTGTTGATATTTGCGTGAAAAGCTATGGTCAGGTCAGTACAAACAGCTAATCGGCAAAAAAGATTGACATACCAAGCGTGGGAAATTCTCTGCTTAAATGACGAACCCAGGCAGCCTGTAAATCATCAGTATTGTTTTGTAGTGTTTTTTCAAATAAACGGTTGCAGAGACGATATAGATGTGTGAAATATTACTAAGAGAACCGCCACGATGCTGCTGGTGCAGAGACAGTCCTCAACTCAAACGAATCACGCGCGAACTCTGTTGACCGGCAACCAAAACGGAGGCCAGTCTACCCGCGGCCAAGACGGCTTTGGGCAAGCGAGACGCTTTTGCTCTCCCCATCTTGTAACAGAACCAATGCATGGAAAAAGGTAAAGGTCCTTGACTTGAAGATGGGGAACCACATGGGTAGTGGGAAGAATGTCATGTGGGAGAGGGAAGTATATGAGGTGTGTTTTTTCTTACAGCTACTTTGGACGGAACAAGATCAACCTTGTTCAGCACAAATACCAGATGTTTGTGCGGTGCTTCTGTGCGAATGTATTTTTCCACACTGCGACACCGGGTTCCATCAGGATCGCGAGCGTCGAGAACGTGGAGAATGACATCGCTGGAGTCGATAACCTTGTACAGCTCGTTCCAGATACGCTTACTTGTTCCCTTCATGAAGATGAACTCTCTTGCCGATGTAAGCTCACCATCAGGGTTGTTGGGGTTGGTCGCATTCTCGCTCTCTTCGTTGTCGCCTGAGGTGCCCGAGAGTAGCCTGGCCTGCTCTAGTCTCTCGAGATAGGTTTCATGCATGGTGCCAGTACGGCCAGCCAGGTCTTGAATGGAACTGAAGTCGAGTTTCGGCCTCTTGCGCTGGGCCTTGGGCCCAAAAGTCTCCGCAAAGGGTTGGGAGTCGACGGCGATTTTGGCAGCGTGCTCCTTCAGACCGTTGATGTTGCCCTTTTCCTCAATCAAGCTCATGGGTAGCTTGTTGCGCTTCATGAGATAGGTGTGGGGATTCGACGACTGCGCCTGAACTGCCGAGCGGAAGGAGTCGAGGGCATCCTGGGATATGACTCTGGTGTTGTTGAACCACTTGCGATTGGGTTCAACGCGGGCAATGGGTGCCTCGCGCGTCTGATACGCGGCGGCCTTGGTGATGTCTCCTTTGGCATTGCGCTGAGCTGTGCCACCAGTAAGGCGCTTGAGGACCTTGACCTTCTTCGCAGATCTATCAAGTCCAGTATTAGTGTCTTTGCATCTTTGGTGGCCACAGCATAGATGTGCAGCCTCCAGACGCAAGCATCAGCACATACCGGTAGAAATTCTCGCCCTTGACCTTGACATTGCCCATGCCATCGCCGGTTTTACCCTGGCGCTCCTTGCGGTTCGCTTCCTTCTTCTGTGTACCCATTGCGAAGCGTTTTCTGCTTCTTTTTTATTTTGGCTTGTCCTGCCTGCTCGCTCTCTTGGTGTGGGCTGGGACAACAATGTAAGAATGGTCGCAGTCGAGGCGTGGGCGAAGAGTGAGGCTCAAGAACCTTCCTCCCGACTTTTTTCTTGTAGCCGGACGCGCTAAGGGTCTTGGCACCGACATTTTCGAGCCACCCGAGGACCGCACCTCCGCGTCTGCCGCATTTGTTCCCTCGCCCAGCAAAGATCACGACACAGCCGCCAACCCAAAGACCTCAGCTGGCTGTTGCGATGCCGGCTCGTATAGCTCGAATACCCCTCCGCGCTCAATGGGCCTGCGCCTCCGCCTCTACTACACCCGCCAATGGCAGGACAGGCAATCTCTGCATTCGTCCTCTCTCCTCCACGGCCACCACCCAGGCCCTCGGTCCGCAGTCACCCAACTACATTGAAGTGCCCCAGCCTGCACAGCCCTCCTACCCAGCCAAGCCAGCAGTCAAGGGTCATCTCCCCGTTCCACGAGATATATTCAAGACTCGCAACATTCATCCCAAGCAATCAAAGATATTCCTCGATCGAACCACCAAAACACCAAAGGATCTGAAGCGGCCTGGGCCGTACAGTAGAGATGCGGATCTCCGCTTGTATAAGCAGAGACTTTCGGAGAAGAGGAGGGAAGCTCTGAGGGAGGGTGTCAAGCAACTCCATGAGCGCAAGGTAGCCACCGAGGCAGAGTACCTGGCTAAGATCCAGGCTCAAGGTGCCTCTAGGCGGGAAGCTGCCATGGCTCCACGCCGCGAAGTTGACGTCTTGACCGAGACCTCGGTCAGCAAAGGTATTCGAGATTTCTTGTCCGGGAACCTCCCTCCACGCAAAGACATCACCGAGGCTCGCCGGAGAGCCTACGAACGCCGCATGGCCAATCTGCATGCAATGCGCACATTGCGTTTGCACGACCTCTACACGAATGCACGCGAGTTTATCGTGGACGAATCACAACTGGACGAGGCCATTGACAAGGCGTTTGGTACCGAAGAATCGCCCTTGGGCTGGGATATGAAGGGCATCATGGGCCCACGCAGAGAGAGCAAGGAGGGTTTCAGCCCATGGCATGGCCCTATGCCTGAGGGAGTGGGCGACATGCTGCAGAAGCTTAGAGGCGGGGAGGGCGTTGGTCTTGCCAAGGAGAGGGTCAAGAAGGTTGCCGAGGAGCTTACGGGCGGTAAGATGTAGAGCATCTATGAGCCATGTATCATGGCTGTGTACAGTAAATGTGGGCGATCAGTGCAAACAACCGCATCGCATATCATGTGTGCATCTCTCCCATGCTACCGATTTGAACTCGGTCACTGGCTAATGCAAGCATGTTCGCAGTCAAACGACTTACCCATGCGCTAACACGGTCTCTAAATCGTGATTACAGGTTCCACAAACGGTGACGACGCGATAGAAAAAGGTTGATACGTCAGTGCGCAATGCATCAAGATCTAAGCATCGACACCAACTGCACGGGGATGCATGTGATGTCCGCTCGTGCTCCCAACACAGTTGTTCACGGTATGACTCGTAAAGGACTCGTACTCTAAAGGACTCGTAAAGCCCAGAATTCCACTGTCTAGAGCTAAATTTCTCCTTGCTTCATGGTTTGCTCTACGATGCACAAACCCTCAAGCTGATTATATGACCACTGGAATTGGGGAACGAAAGACAAGCGGCTCTTGACACTGGTGTTTCGTACTTTTGTATTTCACACAGTGTTCGAATATACATTCAGAATGTGCGTCTATTGGAATTTCTACAATCGGTACTTATGATTAGAACTTCCCTCCTCCACACAGCCCTATTGAGCGTTTGCGAACTCCCTCCTCCGTACCGCCCTGCTGAGCGTTACCGCTCTTGCCAGGCACCAGCTCATCAACTCCTATCACTGTGATACTACGGTCTCAGGCTATCAGAAGACACGCTAAGGTTCCGTCGGTAAGAGAGCCGTCCAGAGAGAACAGGTCTTTTGAGAATTATCTCACCTGTTCACCGAATATTTGGGGGAAAGAGGGAATACTGAGTATATATACTGTCCCTCACCCACGAGCTTGAGTGTTTCTGTACCACACGCTCCTTCATACACAACACCCTGAGCTAGGCAGCATCCTTCCCAGAGACCTTCGCTTTCATACAACATCATCACTCTTCAGTGTCTCACAGACATCATTCCGTTGAGTCGACAATGACAATGTTCAACTTCGCTCAACTATTCATCTACCTCGTCCTCTTTGCACTCTCCATCGCCGCTCCAATTCCCTCTGCAGACGCCATCACTACAACAAATTACACCTCCCATGCCGCCATTTTCAAAAACGAGACCCCCGGTCCCAACCGTCGAGGCATAGCCTACAACAACGTCAATTATGTCTCCCTCTTCAAGGATGACCACCGCCATACAAGCTGGTGCTACAACTGGGACTCACGTCCCTACCGCGACACTCCCATGGAATTCGTCCCCATGCTCCACTCCATCCGAGACGACCATACTGGCCCCTGGCTTGACAATGCGAAAAGAGCTATCTACAGCAACACAAAAGCACCAACACACATCCTCGGCTTCAATGAGCCAGACAATTGCGTGTAAGTTCTACCTTCGTCCTTGTTCCCTGGGCACTTCAATTTTTTGGCACCACCCAAATCCAACGCAATAAAGGATGATAACTAAAATAACCCTTTCCTCAGCGCCGGCGCCGGCGGCTCCTGCGTCCCTGTCGACGACGCCGTTGCCGGTTGGAAAAAGCACATCCAACCGCTCAAATCCACCAAAGGCCCTTTGTATCTGGGCTCCCCCGCCGTCACCAACGCCCCAGACACACCCACCACCGGCCTCGGCTGGCTGCGCTCCTTTCTGGAAAAGTGCTCTGACTGTGATGTCGACTTTATCGCAATTCACTGGTACGATATCGGCGCAAATGTGGCATACTTCAAACAGCACGTCAATGCGGCGCGGGAGGTTGCGCAGGGCCGACCAATCTGGATCACCGAGTTTGGAGTCCAAGAAAGTGAAGGAGCAGCCAAGGGGTTTTTGGAAGAGGTAATGCCGTGGTTGGACGGGAGTGCGGATGTGCATCGGTATGCATATTTCATGGCTACAGTGGGCGAAGGTTTCTTGATTAATGATAATGGGGATGGGTTGAGTGATCTGGGGAAGGCGTATCAGCTTGGTTGATAGGTTCGAGGGTGGATGTTGATGTGATTTCCTGCTTATACTTTTTACGTCTGATTTAGCTTGTAAAAGCGAGATACGGAGATTGCATTGGAAAAAGGGATCTTGGGAAGAGAGACAGCATTTAGATGTGTGGGTAAATCGCTGGGTGCTTGTCTCCAGACTCCACTATGCATGAGCTCCCCATCCCAACAGTTATTATGTTCAAATCAATATATCGACGAGACATGTCATTATGGTTAAACTTACTAGTCGTTCCTATATCCACTTGTCATCAGCATTCACCCTCCCTAGGCCCTAGATTTACCTTCTGCAAACCTCCTTCAAACAACCAACCCCATCATACTAAACACTCTCCCAAACACCCTAAAGCTACAAAAGAGTCAGCATGGGCTTCAAGAGAAAAGTGCATGATAGTCCTATGAGGCTAGTTGCTACGATGTGAGATCCGCAATTTATCAGATCGTCTATGGGGAAGACTCAATGTTTTGATTCTTCTGGGAAGGTAATAGAGTGGATATGTATCCTTCGCTGCCCCAGTCTATATTAGCCTCTATCACAGTCTCATCGAAGAAAACCTGAAGGCATGCTCGGCTGCTATTGCCAGACTCATCTGATGAACCATACGCCATTTGTAAACGCCACAACATCTAACCAACATGATAAACGCTAAGCCCACATTTGAACTGTCAATTCCAGCCAATAATGCCTTCGGCAACAGTCAGTGGTCCCTGAATCGACCCCATCATGACCGAGACTCTGCGACCGATGATTCCAGCATCGCCAACACCCAGGTCCAATCGCTGTGGCAACTCTACAATCTTTGGTCTTGTTCCCAAGGAAAAAGAGTACAGCGGATTCGATGTGTCTCTAACAGGTTGTGATAAATCTCCATCACGACTAGTCGTTCGTTAATGAAGGGTTGTAATGGATTGATATCCAAGGGGAGCTTGTTGTTTGACGTACTGGATGACTACCCAATGTTGGTCTTGTGCTTCTTCTTCAGACCAACCTTGGATCTCGACGCTTGTTCCTGGATTGGAAAACTGATTGCTGAATAACAAGAGCATCTCTTCTTCAGGTTGTAGCCGCGCGAAATGTGATGTAGGTCGAAGAACAGCAATTGAGCCGCCTTGGCTTACCCGAGTTGAATGTCCGTTGCACATCGTAGTTGGTTCGCACTGCACGAAGATGCTCTCTGTATATGTTCTTCGTCTCAAACTCCTGTCCTGTCTCCCGTTTGGATGCGAACTCGGGTCAATTAAATCTTGTTGATGAGATAGATGCTGCCAGGTGCGTAGCAGTCGAGCATAGGATCAACGAAATATAGGTGGAATAGGCTGGCGCAGATGAATGGCGAGATTAAGAGTGAAGAGTTCTTCTAGATTACTGATGTTTCCATCGAGCTTTGTCCTGTCATTTCGGTGTTTTGAGGATTAATGAGTCTCTTTGAGCACGTTTCCAAACCAAGTACCCAACTAAGCAAATAACCTTATTTTGTCACGCTAGTGCATCAAAAGACAGCACAGTACTCTGAGGAATATCATGACATGAATTTAGGTGGTATAGAGTATAAATTTTGATTCGTCTTCTATTGCACTTGTTCACATGGAGGCCTTGAGGACTTTGAAAGCGTCAGCACGAGATCCCAGGAAACGTTCCTCAGCTGTCTTCCAATTAATAACGTTCCAGATGTTTTGGACGTAAGCGGCTTTGCCGTTGAGGTACTACAGGAGGTCAGTAGGATTGTGCAATACTCCATTCACACTGGTCCTGGCTTACTTGAAGGTAGTATGCGTGTTCCCACATGTCGACGCCAAAGATTGGAACCTCGCCTTTCCCAACAACTGGATCCTGGTCCTTTGTAGTCACAATGGCCAGTCTCTGCTCCTTGCCAGTCTCTACCTTGATCAACCAGCCCCAGCCGCTTCCTTGGATGCCAAGGAGAGCTGCATTGAAAGCTTCTTTGAACTTGGCTTCGTCACCCCAAGTTGCTTTGATCTGCTTGACTAGCTCGGGAGCCGCTGAACTCTTGGCTTCCGGTGAGCTGGCTGGGGCGAGGTTCTGCCAGAACAAAGAGTGGTTGATGTGTCCACCGGCATTGAACTTGATGCCTTGTTGTAGAGAGACTTGAGACGTGATATCAGAAGTTTGAACGGCCTCGGCTTGGGTCTTCAAGGCAGCATTCAGGTTCGTGATGTAGGTCTGGTGGTGCTTGCCATGATGCAGCTCCATAATCTGCTTCGAGATGTGTGGCTCGAGCGCCTGCGGGGTATAGTGTTAGGAAGAGATGAGAAGTCCAGGATAGATTAAGCAAAGGGCTTACATCATATGCGTAGGGCAGGGGAGGTAGGGAGTACTGTGGTGCGGACATGTCTCCGAATTCAAATGGCTGTTGGTCTAACTCTGAGGCGGAGGCAGAGGCAGAGGCAGAGGCGAAGATTGCGGTTGTAGAGAGCAAAGGCAAGAGATATGTCCAGAGTCGCAGAATACCCCGCATCATTGCCTGTCCACGTAATCCAGTCGTAATCGAGCGGTAACCCGAGATGCTCGCAAGGGTCGACAGTCTGTCAGGCGTCAAAAGGCTGGAAGCTACCACCGAGTTCCAACAGGGTGCTCTGTTGATGTATCGCCCAATCCGGTCTAGCGCAGCACGGGAAAACTGCCTCAATCTCGCGCGTTCGCACGCAGGCAGGGCACGATGGAGTGTCAGTGTCGAGAGGTGGGTACAAGACGATATCGAACTGGCCTTCTCTATATCAGCATGAAATGAATTCTCAAGAAGAGAGAGAGAGAGAGAGAGAGAGAGAGAGAGAGAGGTTGTTTCATACTGCGCACCCCCAGTACACACAATCGTGGTAAGAGTGAATTGCGGCCTCAGTTAGCCCACCAGCGACCAGTTCTTCTTTCTATACGCAGAATTGTTCTTTCTTGCTAGATCTAGGAAAAGGAAATCTGAAATACTCTTAAAACAAGGGATAGTATACAGCAAAACCCTCGGGAAACAAATCAAAGAATGGTGCTGGGAGATGCTCTACAGTACAAGTCACGAGTGGCATCATCACACAGTCCGTCTCCAGGGCCGAGGCTCTAGCCTAACACGGAATAGTTAGCGTACTCTAGTGCGGACGCTCCCGTCGGGCCGTCAACATCCGGAACTCCATCGTCCATGTTCATACCAATACTGTCACTCAAAACAGTCAAATCTCAGCACGCCTTCTACTATCCAAGTCTACCGCTATCTGCCTGCTTGCCGTTTCCGGGATTATTGTAGCGAGTCTGCTATCGATACAGTATGTACACGGCCTACATCAATCCTTGACCTACCATACTACCCACAACCTGAAGCCATACATGGCTGACATACGTACTTGTTCCATGTGTCAGTCTCCAAGCATCACAATGTCCCGAGTGTTCATGGCTCATGCCCTGATTCTCGTACAAAGTATCCAAGAATTACGAGAACAAGATATATCTTTGGCCTGGACCACGGACTGAATTCGTTATGAAGAGGAATCACACTAAACAAGGTAGGGTTTGAATACAAGATTGGTTGCGCTAGATTTTACAGTTGCAGTACAGTAGCTTCCTTCGCATGATTCCATTCATTGCCAAAGCCAGGCAATGACCAAGTGCTGGGATAAGTATTAGCATAGCTTACTTGACAGTCAACATACCTGACGCAAAGCGCACTGACTTTCGATGAAGTCTTCATCATCTTGTCCTAACCCTGGTCACTAGACTAGGCAAAGTCGATTTCTCAGCCACTCGCAGCTTGAACGCAGCAACATCACAATAAAGCATCACACAACGGCAACGCACACACATATCCAACTCCAGCCTTGGGTGAGATCCACAGCCATTGCGTACAGTTACACAATCCTGACCCTTACTTCAGTCTTAATCATCTGATTGCAGATCGGGTATACTGACTGTGTATTTAGGCAGAATTACATACTCAGTTCTATCCGAGTGCAGTTAGTGGTCGATCTCCACATCACAATGCGGGGGCTGCAATATACCTAGGAAAAACATCTGCTGGGACGCTTGTCATTCTTGCATAGCATTAGCGAGGACGATGATGGTATTCGGAATGTCAAGGGGTGTCGGCGCGAAACTGTGCGCTGCTGAGATTGGATGAGCCCGTATTATTGAATTGCTATGGACTTCACAGTGATATTTCACTTACTTTTTCTCCAATCAAAATTTCAACAATGCTCAACATGCTCGGCTGCAATGCATGAGGCCGCGCCGCAGAGTTCGCGCATGACCACGCCTCCAGTCAACTATGTTGTTGCGTCTTGTCAGCCGTTTAGCCAAAGGCGTCAGTGGCTTTCCATCTCCGCAGGTAAGCAATACTGTAGGCCAGTGGTAGCCACTACATGCTTACCACTTCCCGTTGCAGGCTCATAACCAAGCGTTGTACCAGCAAGCTTATCCAGCCATTTACCCGCCACTAGAAAGCTTCGACAAACGATCATACAACGTGCGGTCTATTGGCCTGACGTGGGACCCCATATTATATCCGATGGAGCATAGTAGGCCTGGCTCTAAATGCATATGTAGGGCTCATCAGCGCCTTGGTCCGACCTGGTGATTTGAACAGTCAGTCGGGTTCTACAAAGCAGACACTCTCCCTAGCCCAACCACCTTGATCTCCCCAACCACCATCACCAAACCAAACCCCTGGGTCCTCCATCATGGCTCCTGTAGGCGGAGGCGGTACCTTTGAGGCAGCCGCCCTGGCCCGTCGTCAAGCTCTCTCCGGTGGCACCGGACCCATGGCGCTCGTGAAGAACGCGCGGGTGTTTGGTATCGCTTGCTTTGCATGTCTGGGTGGTCTGCTATACGGATACAACCAGGGTGTCTTCTCTGGTGTACTAACCATGACATCCTTCAAAGAGCGTAGGTCAATTCCATCTGCACAATCGCACTACACCACAGCGTACTCTACTAACAAGAACCCCCAGACATGGGCGATTACATCGACGACCCAGTAACGCTAAAATGGAACTCCTCAAAGCAGGGCTGGCTGGTGTCTATCCTTGAACTCGGTGCCTGGCTCGGGACAATGTACTCTGGCTTCCTATCCGAGATCCTCTCCCGCAAATACGCCATCCTTATAAACGTGCTCATCTTCATCATCGGCGTCGTGGTACAATGCACCGCTGTAACGGGAGCAGGACACAGCGCTATACTCGGTGGCCGCTTCGTGGTCGGTATGGGCGTTGGCTCCTTGTCCATGATTGTCCCCATGTACAATGCCGAGATTGCGCCTTCAGAGGTCCGCGGCGCACTCGTGGGCCTACAGCAGTTGTCGATTACACTTGGCATCATGATTAGCTTCTGGATAGACTATGGGACCAACTTCATTGGCGGCACGGGCCGTGGGCAAAAGGACGCCGCATGGCTTCTGCCACTGGCACTGCAGTTGGCTCCCGCTGTGCTGCTGGGTGCGGGCATGATCTTCATGCCTTTTTCTCCCCGCTGGCTAGTCCACCACAATCGCGAGGCAGATGCACGCCGGGTGCTCGCTAGACTGCGTGGACTGCCCCAGGACCACGAGCTGATTGAGCTCGAGTACGCGGAGATCAAGGCACAGTCCTTGTTCGAGAAGAAGTCGCTTCAAGAGAACTTTCCGCATCTGCAGGACATGAGTGCACTCTCGACGTTTAAGCTGCAATTTGTTGCGATTGGAAGTCTGTTTACCACTAGGGGCATGTTCAAGCGTGTTGTTATTGCTACGCTTACCATGTTCTTTCAGCAGTGGACAGGTATGTGGTTTATTTCCTGCAAGACCAGCTCGGATGTTTCCAACAGTGGCTGATTTTTGGCAAGGCATCAATGCAATCTTGTACTACGCGCCCACCATCTTCAAAGGCCTAGGTCTATCATCCAATTCAGTCAGTCTTTTGGCCACGGGCGTCGTCGGCATCGTCATGTTCATCGCGACCAGTAAGTTTCTTTACCGTCCAGCCTTAGTTATAATACATATTCACCGTTCTCAGTACCCGCCGTCATGTACGTCGACAAGTGGGGAAGGAAGCCAGTCCTGATCGTGGGAGCTATCGGTATGGCTCTCTGCCATTTCATCATTGTGCGTACACCTATCATTCCACAGCGAAAAGCTGTTCTGACAATGCAGGCCGCCATTGCAGCGAGTTTCGAGGACGATTGGCCAAATCATCAAGGCGCCGGTTGGGCGGCTGTGGTCATGGTGTGGATTTTCGTCATTCATTTTGGCTATTCGTGGGGCCCGTGTGCCTGGATCGTTATAGCTGAGGTGAGACTATATATTCTCCTTGCGTACTCCTCAGTACTTACACTTCTCAGATTTGGCCAATCTCCAACCGACCGTATGGTATTGCACTTGGTGCATCATCCAACTGGTAAGTCTGCATTGTCAAAATGCTTGTAGTACAGCAACTTGTTTTGACCATTCAAACAGGATGAACAACTTCATCGTTGGCCAAGTCACGCCAGATATGCTCGCGCACATGCGCTACGGTACTTACATATTCTTCGGCATCCTGACGGCCATGGGTGCCACGTTTATCTTCTTGTATTTCCCAGAAACCAAGGGCTTATCACTAGAAGAGATGGACATCCTTTTTGGTTCAGTTGGGACGGCTGAGCGGGAGAAGGAACGCTGGAGGGAGGTTCATGCAGAGGTGGGACTGACGGACTTGTTGGCTCGCGCGGGCGTGTACCAGGGGAATAGTGATCATGTCAGTGAACTTGGTAATGAAAAGTCAACGGGTGACACAAAGCATGATTAAGGAATTCCTTCGTTGTAATCACAAAGTGGGATGATATTGCAAAGTGCGAAAATGTAGCTAATGCTAGTTAGTGGGCTAAATGTCAACAGTGAATACAAAGTTTGTATGAAATTGATCATCTTGTTGTCGAGCGTTTGTGCGTTACTGTTGTGGCGTTGACATCCCATAATATTCGAGCTGCAAACGCAGAATTCACTGACACGCCATCCTACCCAACCCATAAATGAAACGTCCTTCGCATACTAGCTTTCCGACATAAAAAGTGCAAGTCTCCACCATCGGCATTCTTGCAACTCAAATAAGCCAAAAGTTTGCAGTCCCCAAATGCTTCCCCACTTAAACGCCAGGGCATGGTTCTACAAGATGCCAATAAGTTCGCCCAAGGTGTACAGTGCAGCGCCAATCGTGACGCTCATGGGTATCAAACGCCGTGCAATGCCATAAAACAAACATCAAACATATCGCGTCATCGTGGGTCACTTCCTTCAATAACTCTGCCTTTTCCTCAGGGATTTGAATGGACAAAATGTGCGCCTTGACAGGGTGAGCGGGCTTGCTTGAAAGCTTGAATCCGACCTAACATCCATCCCGATGTCCATGTCCGGTCATCTTCAGGTTGCTGATGATGCCCAAGCCGGATGGAATAACCGAGGCGACACTCGGTTCCGGAATGTTCAAACTGCAGGCATTTGCCATCACTGTGGCAAGCCTTTGAACACTTGTCAAATGACTTGGCTGCGCTCTTCCCTTTTTTGTATGTAACATCTTCCGACATGTTGGACCAGTCTTCTGCCTTGTCCTTGAGGAGCGGCTCGATCATGGTAAACATTTCCTCAAATATGAGCGGTCTGCTCGGATGTGACCTCGTTCGCTCCCACTGTGTCAAGCCGGTGAAGTCATCCTCGGCCAGGTGATGCATGGTGATGATGGCCTCACACCACTGCTCCTCGTTATAGCGCATCGTGGTTGGCTTTTCGCCATTGAACATGGGCCAGTATCCATGAAGGGGCACCCCGCTCTTCTTGAGCACCTGCGCGAGCACTTGATCCCCACAACACTGGTCCTTGACATCGACACCGAAGAAGTGGGTGCCAGGAAAATGCTTGTTCTCCCCAAACATCCGGCCAAGGGCCATGATTTTGTCCAAAGCAGCGCGTGAAAGGACAAAGCCACTGCCTCCATGTGCGAATATCGTCTTCTTCTTCTTGGGCCAGACGGGAGATCCAAAGTAATGGGCCGCCTTGGGGTTGAAGTTGGACAGGAAGCGATACATGTTGTCGTAATTGACATACGTGTCCAGTTCGACAAAGATATACCACCGCGACTCTGGGCGCAGGTACGACGTCCACTCCATCATGGGTAGGAACTTGTACTTGTCCAGCCGCCAGCCTTCCTCGGTCTTCTCCGCCGTGTCATTCGCATTCTGAATGTGGTCGTACACGTCAAAGTCTGGGTTCTTGAACCGATATTCAGGGCGCAGGTGGGCGAGGGCGTCTGCTATGTCGAAGCCATTGTACGACTGCTTGCGATCGGAGAAGATGAGCAAGTCCAGTTTGCATCTTCCCAGCCGGTTCAAGAAGAGAGGCAACTGGGACGCGACTTCCCCCGCGCCAATCTTGAGCACAAACGTGACGCCCTCCATGACGCCTGACGTGAAGGGCGAACACTCTTGACCAAAGTCTATCGCAGGCCTGGATGGTGGTGGAGGCGCAGCTGGGAGCCGGTCGTGCGACACGAGCTCATAGCCGCGCCCGCCGTGAAGGAGCCGAAGGATCAGGGAGGAGAAGAACAGGGCGCAGAGCACGACTGAAGCGCACACGAGGCGCAACGGCGTCAATCGCACCATGTTCATGGCGAAGGAGGGGCCTTTGCCAGTGCCAGTGACATGATTGAGGTTGTCTTGAAGGCGGGCCTGACGCGGAAATTGGCGCTAGACGGAACGCTCGAATCCGGCTAGCCGCGTCATGTCCATGGTTGTCCGCGTTCGTTGGTATCATTACATCATCATCATCATCATCTTCTTCTTCTTCTTCTTCTTCTTCCTCCTCCTCCTCATTCTCATCTGACGACGTCTCCTTGCTCTTCTCACGGCCCGTTTGTTGTGGTTTCAAATCATGTTACACCGCTGTGTGTCACTGCGTCTGGGCAGTCTTTTATCTGACCGACCAGCCAGCTAGACTGCATGGAGCCCTCGCAGTCTCGTGACCAGTGTGGCACGCTCTGACCACGAACACCAAGGTGAATGGCTCGTCATGGCATCGACATGTCTCTATCAGTTTGCAGATATGCATAATAACACTGTCAACCCCTCGTCCACACCAATCATCTTGCAGCAAGCCTAGGTCCATGTTGCCTGAAGCAAAGCTTCAACACAAGAAGGCAGCATGGATGTCATGAATTAGGTTCCCTTGCGAAAGGAAGCACGTAGTTTGATCCAGGAACTTGAACTCCAAGCCGTTTTACAATACTCATCTCTTCAGCATCGCTGTGACTGGCAAAGTTCCATGACTTACCTCCAGCAACCATGGGTCCACGCAGAAACCACCGCACTCTTTGCCCAAGCTGGCACAACGAACCATCTAGCAAAGCACTCCAGCAAACCAGCCTCACTAACATGCCTATATCTACCCTCATGAGCCCCCACCGACACATTCCCCAACAATTATTTCCACTGCCACATTTCACCCAAACACACTCCACGCCATGGCAAGACCAACCAAACAACAACCACCGCCCAATCCTCTCACCCCGAATCCTCCCATCCTGCCACCAGCCCCAGCCCCAGCCCAAAACCTGACCCTTCAAGAGCAACTTCCCTCTTACTCCCCCAGGAAGACACGTTCCCAAACCAGACTGGCCAATGCCCCCCTCCACGCCCTCGCCTGCAACCACTCAACCAAAAAGACAAAGCACTTTGCCCAACCCATCCTGAATCCACCACCCTCCAACCCGCCAAACCCGGAGAATGTGAATGCAGTTGAAGATGACAGTGGTATAGCTGATCTCGCACTAGAAGTGGGTAATCTCGCGTTAGTGAACAACGGGACTGCAATCACAGCTACTGGAGACGTTTCTAGCAGGGCTGGGTCCGACACAAGAGCTAGGGTGAAAGGAGGGGCTTGTGGAGGGAGGGGATTTCGTGGCACCGTTGAGAAACTGAATGGGGAGTTGAAGGGAGCCCAACAAGGGGTCGGGAAAGGGAGGGGGAGAGGCCAGAAGAAAGAAGAGCGAGAGGAAGAGCAAAAGCAGATTGCCGAGCTCCTGACACTACATGACTCCACGTCTTCTCATGAAACTGATCCTGGTGCCGAAGCCGAAGCCGAAGCCGACGATGAAGAGGAATCCGAAGACAAGATGACCGACAATACCACCAACAACCAGTCCAATTTCAGAGCCAAATCTAAATCCAAGGCCATCCTAAACTCCAACTCCCACTCCACATCTACCTCACACAACTCTAACACACTACCCTCGTCTTCAACAAGCCGCATGCAGGGAACAGACACGGGTGACGAAGAGGGAAATACGAGGGTCATCAGGTCTACTAGATCCACTATGGCTCCTCTGACTACAGGAGTCAAGAGAGCAACCAGAGTGAAGAGCAACCAGAGCGACGAGTAGCGGTAGATATGCTGGAATGAGTGGTGGGATGAGTAAGAGATGGGGATAAGTCAGGTCATTGAGTGAGTGGGTAATGGCCAGGAGATTAAATTGTGACACAAAAGACATATCACTCACACATACACACATGACATCCATCACTCACGCCGCTCAGAGCTAGGACGCAAATGAGGGAGAGGGCTAGAGGATGCACTTAAGAAGGCGCGCACTAGTTATTCACATATCCCTCCAAAAAATAATCGAAAATCAGACAACACCAGACCGCCCTTCTTCCCCCCATGACCTTGTAAAAATCAGTTCATAAGACTCAGTGTCAAAATAAGTGTTCACCGTGTAAAAAAAAAACTCCCCTTATTCATGAGAAAGAGAGAGGCAGAGACAATGCCGAGATGATTAAAATATCTTGATTTCAGCTAGATTACCAAGACGCAGCAGTGCCATCATTCATGCCCATTAACAATACTGCCAGAAACATCATGGGTTCTCTGCAACCCAAGTCAACCTACCAAGCCTCGTCAACAAGGAAAGTAGATGAGGATACCCCCCATACTGACCAACCATCAACGACAAAAAACGCGCTTCCCAACATCAACGCTTCCTCTTCCTCGCTTTGCCACCATCTTCATCTTCATCTTCTGCATGCGCACTCTCCTTGTCCTTCCTTGCAGCCTTCTTATCCAACTCATCCCAGCTCTCCCCCTCGCTAAAATCCTCTTCACTCCCCTCATCACTCATCTCATCCGACGCATTCTCGTCGAAATCGCTCTCCTCGGAACTCTCATCCGATATGGCGAGTTCGCTCTCTGAGACCTCAAACGCAGATTCCTCCTCCTCCTCCTCGCCGTCCTCGTCGTCCGAGTCAGTGGACAAGAAGGACCAGCCGCCGTCGGCGAAGAACTGATGCGGGTCCGAGGTTACCGTCTTCATAATGGTGGCCCAATTGAGGTTCAGCGGACCCTCGCTAAAGGGAATGTCGACGGAATCAAGCCAATCCTTGACAGGGTCGAGTGACTCGACGGGAATGGTGTTGATGTGCACGGGCGGACGGTTGTAGTCCTTGAAGACAACCACCATGTCAAAGTTTCGCAGACCGAACTGCACACGTTCGAGGTGTACGATTTCAATCTCGGATAGGGTGAGACAGGTGAAAGGCGGTTCGGTCAGTTGAACTAAGCAGTCGGTCGTGGGTTGGACCAGCACTGAACTGCGCGATGGCACACCGTTGAAGCCAAGCTCGCGGTAGGGAATGTCAACGCTGACATTCTCGTTACGCGCGGCGTCTGCAATCTTCTCGGCAAAGTTCTTGAACTCCTTGTCGAGCGCTGCACGTCGCCTTCGCTCTTCTTGCTCTTGCTCAAACTCTTCTTCGTCGCCAAACTTGTGGCGGCGTTTGCGGTTGCCTGTCTCGTCGAACTGCATCTCTGTGGCTTCGCGGACGAATTGCACATCCTTGGTCTTCTTCTTGCCCAGCATAATCGGGTTCTTGAGGTGGACATGGATGATGACGATGAGCTCATGTTGTGAGGGCTGGAAGAACAGATGTTTCATGTTGCTGAAGAGGACATCGATTTTGGCCGTGCCGTTACCATGTACGTAGCGCAAACCATTTTGGTGGATCTCGACACTTCCCGGGATGCGTTTACCGTCAAGGGCCGGTCGAATGAAGATGAGGTCAAGCATATGAGGTTTGCGAGCTGGTCAAGGTTAGCTTGAGCTGCGACACACGGATGACATAACGTACTCTTTAGTGGGATGAGCTTATCCTGCTCCACAACGTCTTCCATCTGCTTCTTCTCCGTCTCACGTCGGACAACATCCTTCTTCAGCTCTGTGATGTCTTTTGTGATCTGATCGATGCGATCGACATCGTGGGAGCGAAAAGTCAAGCTGCGGATAAAGTGGGCGTTGGGATCTTCAAATGGTTGATCGTCTTTGCGACCAACGCCTTGACCAGGCGAGAGGAAATTGATACGAAGCGAAGTGAAGTCGGCTTCCGGTGTGTGTGATGCGTTCTTAATTGTGTGAATATGGAAAGGAACAGGCCGGCCCATAACGGGCAGCAGAACTGTCAAGCTCTTTTTATCCACGACAATCTCCAGGTTTGCGACCGAGGACGGGAACTGATTATCGCGCTTGTACGACTCGAACTTTTTGAACTTCTTCTCCTCGGTACCATTTGAAGACTTTGTGCCTTCGCTGTACAGCTCCAGTCCTTCCTTTTGCTTTTTAGCGTGCAGCTCCTTTTGATGTTGTCGTCGCTGCTCCTCCTTTTCGGCGTCTTGGTTCGTCGTTCGCTCATGTCGTGTTCGGGTCTTTGTGATGTTGGTCTGCGCAATGGCCGGCGCACGCTCTTTCTTGACCTTGGGCTTTGCCTCCTCTTCCTCCTCATCGAAGAAGAAGGAGACGGCATCCAGATCTGATGTTGTGTCCTTGGTGAAGACGGCGCAGTCACCCTGTCCAACGCGAACCGTGTCGACCAGGACAAGGGAGTATGTTTTGCTCTTCTTGTCCTGAGGCTTGCTGTTCTCAAGATCTTGAAATCCAGTCTGAACCACGAGCGTCATACCGTCCTTGAGAGTACGACTGTTCTTGGCACTAAGGAGTAGGGTATTATCCTTGTTCTCGGTACCGATTCCGTATCCGAGATTCTTGGGAAAGTGCTTGTCCCAATCGGGCTTCTTCGACTTGAGGTGTGCAAGTGCTTTGTTGTAGACATCCTTGGCCACGACTCCATCTTTCAGAGACTTGATGACCAAGTCATGAATGGCCAAAAGCAGCTTGTATGCAGTTTCCTGCTCCTTGTTGGGTCCAACCATGTATGTTCGTCCCACCAGGGCGCCGTAGGTCTGATAACGAAGACCGAGGACGGAGATGATGACGCCGGCGTGCAGATTCTGGTCGTCCGGCTCCGAGGCAAACTTGAGGTCGTATGTTCCACCCGACTGGACAGTCGGCGGTAGGCACCAATCCAGCTGCAGACTGTCAAACGTCTTGGAAACCTTTTGCTTCTCAAAGAACTTGACATCGTCGATTTTGTTGGCAACCTTGTCGGCGAGGGCACGGTGGGAGATTTTCTTCTCGGAGTCTAGAATCTCGGACATTTCTTCGACGAAGTAGTTGGTCATGAGGGCGCTCGAGGCTCGAGAGGCGTCGCGGATGGTTCGCTAGGGGAGGTCAGTGGAGAGTTGAGCAGAGCAAGGGATGCAAGAGAGCAGACTGACCAACTCCTTCTCGTCTTTGACAGACAAGGCAGCATTCGACATGATGGGCGCCAGATCGACCTGGTCTTCCTCCTTGAATCCAGCCTCGGCAAAGGCAGCTTTCCACTCGTCTGCAAAAGCTCCCGTTGCGCTGTCCTTTTTCAGCACAGCAACCTTCTTGCCCGCCTTCTTGAGTGTTTCGATGCATGTCTGGAACTGCTTCTTGTTCTCCTCGGCGTCTTTTCCGCGGACCAGAATCTCGACCGGCACCTTACCACCTTTGAGAGGCTCGAGATAGGAGGCTGTAGCGGACCAGATTAGCAAAATGGCTGCGACAGCCATCTAGGAGGCAATCTAGGAAGCTGTTCAGTGGCTCACCCTTCTTCTTGGTGGTGACAATCTGGAGCAGGTCGGGGGTGAGGATGAAGAGCGTGGCCGGGAACTCGTAGCCCAGTAGCCATAGCTATGCGAGCCAAGTCAGTTCATTTGCTCGATTGGATCGATTGCCTGCGCATTCTCACCTGGAAGGCGGCAGGCTTCAGATAGGTGCCAGGCTCGCTCGCCTTGCCCACAACCGTCGCAATGGAGCTGGCGCCCTGGAAGACCTGGTCGCCACTGCGCTTGTCGGCCTTCCACTTTGTGACAAAGTTATTTAGCCGCTCCTGGAAGAGGGCCTTGTCGATGACGATGTCGTCGGCCATGATGGAAGGCGAGCGCGCACGGTGAATGAGAGTGGGAACGCCTTCGAATGGGTGGACAACAACAACAACAACAACAACAAGGTCAAGGGGAAAAGAAGGGGGGCAGGGGAAGAGAGAGAGGGGGGGGGGGAGCGACGGGGCAAAGCGACGGCGATGAGGAGGAGAAAGTCGCGAGACGGGCGGGTTTACCTTTGGGGCGACGCGAGCAAACGCGAGGGCAGATGGGGCGCACGGGCCCACCGGTATCTCTGTAACCCGGCATCTTCAAGTGAAGTTGCTGGCTGGAGACACCGTAGAGTACAGACTACAGTTTGCTACGGAGGAGATAGCCCACTCCAACACCACCCCATAT